CCTCCCACGACTACAAATGACCTGTTTTGGTTAGTGTTTTAGTGGACTAATATTTTGTAAAATACAGTCACATTTCAATTATTATACATTATATATTTATATAGATTATTACTATTTAAAAATAAGTTCTTAAACTTATTTTTCTTAAAACATAGAACAGTGAATATAGAAGTAAAGCAAACAATTATCTCTTTTAGTTACAACCATTGTACTCGGTTGCTGCTTGATGTGGGTTGCTCACGTGGAGGATGTGAAAAAAACATTTTTTTAGGTTTTTTTATATATATCTTAAATAACCAAAAAATCATAAATTACTATATTGATACCATAGAATTCCACTATAATTTATCAAGCTTAGTAACTAAGCTGTGTTTGGGCATATATGAAATTTTGAGCTTACTAAAGACTTGCCTTTCATTTGAAATCTTGTTTGATAAGAACGAGATTAACACAGTAACCTATCAAAATGGCTGATAAAACAATTAGGGGACATTCTGAGCTTTTGATTGGTTATTCATGTCATACATAGAAGTAAATGTATATAAGGGAGCATTTCCAAAAATAGAAAGATGTGGGTAAGGACAACTGATTCAGTACATGAGTGATATCTTAGCAAATAGAAAAGATAAGAGGTTATTATTTTATATTATAGCTAGTTAATGTCGATGATTTGAGTTTCTAATTTGTACAAAACTATAGTAATCACAAACATCTAATTTGAACCACGTGACACACAAACATCGATGTTTAGCTGTTTTTTTAATATTTACTTTTAAATTAAGAAATTAACATATAATACTAAAATTGAATTATAATCTACAGTTTGATACCAAACTTATTGACATGAATTCATGAAATAGTATTTAAATAAAATTTTGAATGTAAGTCAACAAATACGATGACATGGCCTTTGACACTTAACCCCTCACAATAGGGTTAATATTATGAAAATATTAAACAAATCAAAATTAGTGTCACTGATACTGCTGTTTTTGATTAATTCCAGTCAAGTGTAAAGTAATCATTTTCTTATTTCAGCATAATTTTTGGGATTATTTCACACTAGGTTATTATTGTGTGCAAAACAGAGACTAATTTTACACCCATGATAGTCTTATTTTTCTCTGCCTTTTAAATGTGAAGTGACATGAGCTGTTTAGTTTATCACTTGCCGTGAAGGTGCATCTACAGTATTTACATGCATGATTTAACTATGTACATTCTGTTCATGTCCATGATCACCTAAGTGTATGATATCTACATGCATGATTGCCTAGATTTAACTATGTACATTCTGTTCATGTCCATGATCACCTAAGTGTAGATATCTACATGCATGATTTAACTATGTACATTCTGTTCATGTCCATGATCACCTAAGTGTAGATATCTACATGCATGATTTAACTATGTACATTCTGTTCATGTCCATGATCACCTAAGTGTAGATATCTACATGCATGATTTAACTTTGTACATTCTGTTCATGTCATGATCACCTAAGTGTAGATATCTACATGCATGATTTAACTATGTACATTCTGTTCATGTCCATGATCACCTAAGTGTAGATATCTACATACATGATTGCCTAGATTTATCTATGTACATTCTGTTCATGTCCATGATCACCTAAGTGTAGATATCTACATGCATGATTACCTAGATTTAACTATGTACATTCTGTTCATGTCCATGATCATCTAAGTGTAGATATCTACATGCATGATTTAACTATGTACATTCTGTTCATGTCCATGATCACCTAAGTGTAGATATCTACATACATGATTTAACTATGTACATTATGTTCATGTCCATGATCACCTAAGTATTTTTCATGTTTCAAATTCTAGGTAGTTTTTAGGTTAAAATGAAATAATTTGATCAACAGTTTTTGTATATAAGAATTTTTGAATGAAGTTGTTCTTTGTAAGGTTTTTTATTATTATATTTTTGTATGTGTGAGTGAACTTATGTTACCCGAGTTTCATTGTGGAAGACGATTATTCATGAAGCTCATTACGTTCTTTAAGAACTTGGAGGTATACTGATAAAACATTATGTTTAATAGTGCTGTATATACATGTTGATATAATAATATGTAATGAAGTTGCATAAATATTTTACAGATGTTAACAATGAAGATAAGAAACCCAGGGAGCACTGCAAGCATCTGGTCATCAGGAAAAGTCACTTGTACAGGGGCAACAAGGTAAGTGTTTTGTTATTCTGTCACCAGTTGTTTCCTAACTTGTACGTAGATGTTAACCGTGGAGATGAGGAACTTGGGACTACTGTATCTGGTCATCAGGTAAAGTCACTTGTACAGGGGCAACAAGGTAAGTGTTTTGTTATTCTGTTACCAGTTGTTTCCTAACCTGTACGTAGATGTTAACTGTGGAGATGAGGAACTTGGGACTACTGTATCTGGTCATCAGGTAAAGTCACTTGCACAGAGGCAACAAGATTAAGTGTTTCGTTATTTTGTTACCATTTGTTTGGTATCTTGTAGGGCTGGGGCATTTGTGGAAATTGCTAATTGATTAATCATTGGGCTCATTTATTAATTATAGTAAAATAATCAGTTATTGTTACATTAGATGAATCTCTACACACACACACACACACACACACACACACACACACACACACACACACACACACACACACACACACACACACACACACA